CTCTTTACCAACAATTGCCTCTCTGGAATTTGTCTCCATTGTGTTTAGACAGTCTTGTTCATGTTCACAAAGTACGAGAAAATTTTATGTGCACCTCTTATGTTGGCATTTTCTTTCAACATCTTCATTGCGCTCTAGTAGGTCAGAGTGATGAGATAATTTGTATTTGTTCAGGTTTAGAAAAATGGGTGTATTAAAAGCCCTTGGCTGGTATTTCTCTCTCCCCCGTCCTCTGTTCTTTCAACAATATTAAAGAACACCCACAAGGGGTCCAGGCTGTGCTTGAATAGACATTACTAAGTGGCAAATAGGAGTTTTTGCCCTTATGCTTACTATCTAGTGGGGATACAAATAAATTTATAATTACAGTAGGAATGAAAGGGAGAAGATACAGAAAAAGTAAGCGTCCTGGTAGAAATGGTTTATATTATGGAATTGAGAAATACCTGTTTTATAAGGTGGCCTTAAGTGGACTCTTGGTGAGAGAGTAGGAGTTGGCCTGGCAGATGGTTCAGAGGGAACGCGTTGTTCTCAGAGGTAACAGCATGCGCCAGGACTCTGAAGCAGAGAATAGTTGGTGCCTTCAAGTTGGCTAGTGTAGAATAACAGGAGATGAGGTTAGAGTAAATCATACGGGAATTTTGTATTTAAGAGTAGGGTGACCAGGGGCGCCTGGGTGGCTCAGTCGTTAAGCGTCTGCCTTCGGCTCAGGTCATGATCCCACGGTCCTGGGATCGAGCCCCGCATCAGGCTCCCTGCTCAGCGGGAAGCCTGCTTCTCCCTCTCCCACTCCCCCTGCTTGTGTTCCCTCTCTCGCTGTCTCTCTCTCTGTCAAATAAATAAACAAAATCTTTAAAAAAAAAAAAAGAGTAGGGTGACCATATAAGTTATCGTCCAAAATGAGATACTTTGAAGAATGAAAGTGGATCCTGCTGATAATTAAGCAAGGACAACAGGCAGAGAACAGGACGTGTCCCCAGAAAACTGGTACAAATTGTTACCACTTCAAGAGAATAGAAAGACAATTAAATCCTTTAGGCAGAGGAGTATAGAATCTGATGTCTGCTTTTGAAAGATCATCCTTGTTATTGTGTACAAAGTGGATTGGAAGACAGAAATGGAAGCAGACTCTTGCAATTGTCTAGATGAGGAACGAGATGATAAAGAGTGGACAAATTTTAGATATAAGTTGGCAGTACAATTGGTAGAACTTGGTATTGGATTGGATATAGGAAGGGAGAAGATGGTGGTTGTCAAATGACTCAGGTTCTATTGCATATAACAGGGTGAATGGAAGTGCCATTTATTAAGCTAAGATACAATTAAAGAAGCAGATTTGGGGCAGGAATGGGGAAAGTTCAAGGGATTATTTGGGAGAGCCTTAATATGAGATGCCTGATGAATCTCCAAATTGAGAAGTCATGGAATAGCGATGACTACTTGGAATAGCGATCTATGTGGTGGATAAAAATATATTGGTTGTAAACATTTTGGGTGCCACATACAGCATGAGAATGTCTGGGATTATTGGGAAGGAGTAGGAAATTGATGAGAAAAGACAGCCCAGGACTGAGCTCTGAGGACCACAAAAATTAAACAATAGGTAAAGAAGGAAGGAACAGCAGTCTTTTGGACAATTAAGGGGAAGTGTGCTGTATACTCCTCAGGAGGCCTCAGAGAAATTAATATCTTTACCCCTCTGGCCTACCACATGGACCCTGATAACACAATTCTATTGCTTTTCTTACTCTACTGCCCACTTGGATCACCTTTCACATCAACTACTTGCACACCAGTCCTCACCTTGGGCTCTGCTTTGGGTGTGAGAAGGGAGAACCAAAGGAATAGAAATATGACCAGGAGAGTATATGACTGAAGAAGCAAAAAGGCTATGTCGGGAGGGAAGGGATGGGAAAGGATTTGAACGTTGCTGAAAGGTTGAGTAATGCAAGAACTGGTCTGATCATAGAAATCGGTGGTGATCTGAGAAGGAGCTGGGATTATGGAGGTGTAAGCAAGATTGCCTTGGGGAGAGTGCGGTTGAACTTGGGTCTGAAGGGAAGCTGAGAAATTAGATACTAATTGGGGATGTGGAATCAAGGGAATTTGATTTGTTTTGATTCTCATTGTTTTTTTAGAATGTGAGAACTATTAGAGAGTATGTGAATGCTGATGAAAATGATCCCTTAGAGAGACATGGAAGAAATAGGAAAGGGGATAGTTACCTGAGACACAGAACAGATAGAATTCTTAAAGAAAGGTTGGCTCCTCCTTCATAGTAAGAGGGGAGACGATTGGATGACTGCAGATGTAGATCTGGTAATGAGAAGGTAACGTGGAATGTATTATGTGGTTTCTGTGTCCTCAGGGAGCTTTGAAGCAGGTGATGTGCCGAGAACTAAAGAGATTTGGACAGTAGGAGGGACATGGACAAGGTGTTGAATAGTTGCTGTGGTGGTGAGGGGGAGGTCACTCTGATCTCTCAGTGTTGAATGAGTATTTGAGGCTGGTGACCATTAATGAATCATGATCACAGTTTCTCTGTGGTAAGATTTTTGCCCAGCAGTGTTTAGCTCTGTAGATGCTGGCCCAGAGGAAATGCATCGCTGGATTCATCAGTAAGGTTTGCAAACTGGATATGATGGAAGGAGAAAGAGCCCAGGGAATCCGAGGGTGCTTACAAAAGAGTCATTATAAAGAAGGGCTCTGGAACGAGGGCTATTGAAGGAGGGAAGTGAATTCCTGAGGGGGTTGGTCGATAGAAATGAAGCAATAAGGATAAAGGATTGCAGTTCTCTGTGAGGTCAAAGAATGGTCGCAGTGGGAATGCTCTAGAAGAATGCAGGTGTGATAAGAAACGGGGATCTTTGAAAGAATGATTCTGCTTGTGGTATGCTTTTTGGTGATGAGTTCTGTTAGGTATTACAATTCTCGAAATTCCTACAAATTCTGTTCTGTGCTGTGATAGGGCCACACAGGAATGATGTACATTTTATTTTATTTATCTTAGATAAATCACCTTTACCTTTTCCTTATTTGTCAAAGGCACTCACTCCTTTGAACTGGGCTTGGATGATCACATTGTCTGTTCCCGGAAGGCATCATGAATCTGATGTGGTTTTCTACGATTCTGGGAGCCATACCTGTCTCCTTCTGCTTTACCGTGAGACTTCAGGAATAGACCAAGTTGAGGAAATCGTGATACTGAAAACAAATGTCATTATTTCCTCAAAGGAGTTTATGATGTTCAATTCTAGTAATATGCCAACTCTCATCTTATGTTCTCTATATGCCAAACTATTGACATGTATGTAACTATGTTATTTTTTCTTCTTTTCTGGGCATGTTTGCTGGAAATGGCTTCCCTCTGTTGTCTCATATTCCTCTTTCAAACATGGTTCAGACATTGTCTTTTGTGCGAAATCCAACTTGACTATTCCTGAGCTTCTTCTCAGTCTTGTTAGTCATTCATCCTCTGTGCTGAAATGGAATTTTATACTTTATTTTCTGTCTTACTTTATTATAATAATTTATTTACGTGACTATCTCTTTACTTGACTGTGAGGGTTTTTTTTTGTTTTTTGTTTTTTTTTGAAGGCAGGGAACATGTTTATTCATCTCTGTTTTCTGAATGCCTCGCCTAATTCCTGGCATATTTTAGGTGTTAAGCAAATATTTGTTAAAAAAAATTAAGAAATGAACTGATGAATTCCATTTACCTTTTTATAAAGCATGCAGCCATCACTAACAACCATCGTGATGTGAAATGGCACACAGAGTCATAAGCTTGTTTGCTGACTCTTACATTGTTGACTGTCAGAAGAAAAGTGTCACCAAACACATTTTCATAATGAAGCAAATCTATAATCTGGCATTTATCACTCCTGTGCTGCTATGGACTGAGTGTGGTTTAGGAGGTGGGGAGAAGGGGGAGACGATGCAGTTCTTCCCAATTTATGAGAGGGCAGAGGAGCAGAGATTAAAATGCAGAATGGCAATCAGATTAAAAGGGTTGATGAGATCCTAAATACATCCCTCAGGCCACAGGGGAGCCCGAGGGAGCAATCTTGGGAGGACTACAGGCCATGGAGGGAGGGAAAAACTAGGCTTCCCACCACTACAATAACAAGAGATAAAATGAAACCTACTTATCTGATTTTAGAATTTTATTTGGACATAGAAACCTTCAAATTATTTATTTATACATAGTGATATCAAGCTCCATCTACTTCCACTCCAAAGGGAACTCTTAAATAATCAAATAAAATGTTGAGGTTTCCTGCCTGAGTTACTCAAAGAGGAAGAAGAAAAAAGATACAATAGGTTTTTGAGACACTCTTTTTCTAATAACATATTCTTAAATGTGTATCAAGAATTATTCCTTGTTTTATTTTATTCAACAGAAAGAAGCCTCACTTTTTACTAAGTCCATTTCTATGCATCAAATCTGTGTATTTTTAATTTTATGCAAGCCTAAATACAAATACTTCCTTTTATCTTTATGTTGTAGACAATGAGACATTGGCTAAATGAGAAAATCCCTCAAATAGGTCAATTTTCACTCAAAAGTGGGGTTTAAATGTTTATATATTCTAATTTACAATAAAAACTCATTTTAAATTATTTTAACCACTTATGTTTAGCATACATCTTAGATACTTAAGTAACATGCTTTTAATGATGCCAATCTTCCAGTCACACCAGCTTTATTTTGACTTTAAAAAGGTATTTCCTTTTTAACAGAGTAGCTTAAACTATTAAATCTGTTACCAGTTTCAGAAGAATGATAGGGTAAATGATAGATATTTTTCTACAGGGGGAAATTGAGGGAGACAATTTGAGTTATCAGAGGCCATGGCCAAAACTTGGGAAGTATATAACTAAATTTGGGTTTACAAGACACAAAGGCAAATTAATGATACAAATAGATTTGGATGCCCTGGTGCCCGGACAAGTAGAGTTTTATTTATGGGTGTGTCTTTGCTTCTTTCTTCTTTTTTAGAGATTCTAGGTTCAGAGATGAAGGAGAGGGGGCATCTGTGTGGCTTCAGAATATTTAAGAATGATGTCCGATTTAAAGAAGGAATAAGGTAAGAAATAATAAAAGAGAACGACAAAAAGAATCACAAGTTAGGATGATAGGGAGGAAGCAAAGAACGAAGGACAGTGTGAGAGAGATCTATATACATGGTTGGGATTTTAGGGTTCCAATGTTCATATCCAAACCCCAGCCCAGTTCCTGCTCAAACAGGCCCATTTTCAACAAAAGGCAAAATGTCTCCTGATGACAGTCAAATAAACAAGTACGTAAACCTGCTTAATTTGGAGTGTCAAAGAATAATGACAAGAATGGCAATACCCACCTACATAGGCCAAGGATTAAAAGTTAGGGAAGATGAGAGCCGACATGAACAATCGCCAGATATTCCAAGTTGAGAGGCAGAAAGTAAACCTCAGATTTGGGTTTATGCATTGGAAGAGAAGAAAAGGTGAAAACAAAAACGCGTTGAATAGTCTCTCCTGATTCTCATATTTCTAAGCAGGTCAACTTCCTAAATATCAAGTTGTTGCTTCCAGATGGTTGATTTTCTACATTTATTCGGAAATTCCTGTCTTTTTTGGATTGACACCCATTACATTATACTGTGTTCAGTGTTTCCTCACGGATGTTTTCTACCAATCGCCAGGGCACTTGTCTGCATTCACTGAAGAAAGAAGCACTGCTGAATATTTTCCCACAGCAATTCCATTCACCGTCCTAGAGGTTTTCCTCATTCATGTGGAAGACACGTCAACACCTTTCCTTAACCTCTTCAACCCCGATGATCTTCATCTTTCCTCCTCTTCTGTCACCAGTTCAGGGCTCAGAACTGCTATTCAACCAGCACCCAGCACTGGATGCGAAACACTTTCTGCCCAGATGCTCCCACCCCTCTGCCAGTCCCTCTATGGGGGGGTGGGGGTGGGGGAGTGGAGTTACAGTCCCTGGTAAACTCCCCTGTCCCTTATTACTCCAAATTCTGACCTCTCTCCTCTCGTGACTAACCTGCCTCCCAGTGTAGCCACTTCACTTTCACCAGAGAGCCCCCCTATTTTGGGGAGAAACTCAGTGTTCTCTGACAGGAATGCACTCATCTCCAGTTTCTGGATTTTTGACCACTTCTTAGTGTCCTTCCTTTCAGAGCTGAGGGAAGAAGTTTCCCTCCTTGGTCCAAGGCCAAAACCCACCTGTTGTTTGTTTGTTTGTTTTGTTTTGTTTTGTCTATTTCATCCTTCCCATTACCTCTCAGTCTCTCCTCCAACAATGATTCTGACTTTCTTTCTCTGCACTGGATTGCTTCTCTAAGCTTGAAAATGTGCTCATGCTCATCCCATTTAAAAAGAGAAAGCCCAGCGCTTCTCCACCTTTTGACTCTTCTTGCTACCACCTAGTTTGTCCTTTCACACAATCATTTTGGTTATTCACCCAGCTCCCATTCCCTCTGCAGCCTCGTAAGTCATTGAAGCCATTCTAATTAAGGTCACCATTGTTTTCCCATTTGTCAAATACAGTGGATTTTTTTTTTTTACTTTTATTTTACCTGTCTGAAGTGTGTGACATTGTTGATAACTTCCTCTACCTTACACCCTTGGCCTACAATATCTTCTACTTTCTTTCTGTGTGACCACTCCTCAGCTTCATCCAGTTCATCTATCAACTGAAGCATTCATATTCCCCTGGATTCTCTTAGTCCTTGTTTCTTCAAATGTTTCCTGATGACCTTATCTGTAACAAAGTTTTAATAATCACCTGGATGATATTTTCATCTGTCTATGGAATATCTCCAGCTGGCTAATGATAATGGCATTAAAAATAACACTAGCTATTAATGTTACTGGCATTTGTTAATCATTTTCAGGCACTGTACAAAAGTCTTTTATTATATTAACTGATTTACATATCAAAATCCCTGAACTTTTCCCCCACTTTTACATCTGAGAGGTAAAGCAATTTGCCATGTCACACAGAAGTTAAGAGGCAGAGGGCTTTAAATCCAGCTTATCTGACCCCAAAGCCCACACTAAACCTGACATATGCAAAATTTAACTCATATTCCCCAAATTATTCATCTCCTATATAAGCTGTTTCGAAAAACATAATCATCGTCAGCAGAGCCCCAAACAGAAAACATGAAGTCATGTTAGATTCCTTCCTTTTCCAAGCAGTAAGCCACTATGTCCTGTTAAACTTTTATACTTCTTCCTTATAGTCTCATCTAATGGTACTCAGTTCAGTGTCTCATTATTTCTCTCCTGCCCCACTCAAAAAGCTTCCCAATTGGATTATGCCCCTCCTTCTAGGCTTGGTCTTCCAATTTATTCTCTAGGAACTATTTATCTTCTTACATCATATATCTGATTATATCACTGTTCTGATAAATCCCTAATGACTCCCCATATCCTGGAAGCCATGTTTCTCACAGTGAGTTTTATGTATCGTCTTCCATCAGAAAGTAGATCCTCAGAAAAAAAAAAGAAAGAAAGAAAAAAGAAAACAGATGCTGAGGAACCACACCAGGATTTCTAAATTAGAACTGATTGCGGGTCCTAGACCTGTATTTTTAAAGATTTATTTATTTATTTTAGAGAGGCATGTGGGTGGAAGAGAGTGGGCAGAGGGAGAGGTAGAATCAAGCAGACTGCCTGCTGAGCATGGAGCCCCATGGCGGGGGGCTCGATCCCAGGACCCTGAGATCATAACCTGAGCTGAAATGAAGAGTTGGATTCTCAACTGACTGAGCCACCCAGGAGTCCCTCAACTCTGTATTTTTTTTTTTTTTAAGATTTTATTTATTTATTTGAGAGAGAGAGGGAGAGAGAGCACACAAGCAGGGAGGGGCAGAGATAGAGGGAGAAACAGACCCCCGCTGAGCAGGGAGTCTGATGCGGGACTCATCCCAGGACCCTGTGATCATGACCTGAGCCGAAGGCAGACACTTAACCTACTGAGCCACCCAGTTGCCCCCTAGACTGTATTTTTAACAAGCTCCCCATGTGATTCTTTGTCACACTAAAATTTCAGAGTGTCTGGTCTCCAGATCAGGTGCAAACACTTCAGAATTGCCAATAAATACCATCTGATGCTAGCTTCTCTTCTTTTTTTCTCTCAGTTCTTTCCATTCCTCCATCTACTCTCTGCACCAGACTTGTTACGTGCTCCCTCTCATGCCAAGCTTTCGTAAATGTTGGTGACTTCATATGTGTTTTGTCTTCTACCTGAAGGTCCTTTTCCCTGTATGTCCGGCAATTCATATGAATGTGTGTGTTGCATACCTTGAGTCCTCATTAGACTGAAAGTTTCTCCCAGGACACTGCAAGCTGTATAGTTATAGGAATTTGGGGTCTTGAAATCTCCATTTAAAAAATAACATTCCAAGTTCAGCTTGTGTGAGAAACCAAGGTATGGCTGAGAACAATGGAATTAATGTGCACTTGGTATGTACTCAGTATGTAGGTACTTGGATCTTTTAGCAATTTCTCTTTGGTTCATGACTGATTGTTTGGTTTGTGATTAAGCTTTCTTAAGGGAAATTTCATGTCTGTAGGCTTATGTACAAATGAGCGCACCAATGGAAGTGGAATTTTAAAAAAAAGCTATTTTGATCACCAACCAAAAGCTCTAATTAGAGAAATATTAGGAGTAATTTAATTGAAATCTCTATATAGACGTCTCATACCCCTGGGAATACGAATAATCCAGGGGATGGAGGGATGTGGGTAATCATGTTTATGCTCTTGATATTGAACTCAGCTTCACTCGTCACAGTTTGCCTGTAAATGTGTGATCCTCTCTTTACAGATGAGAAGATTGTGGTCAGACATGCCAAGAGACTTGGAAGAGTCACCTAGTAAATAGGAGACAAATCTGGAATTTGAATGCAGGTATGTTTGTCCTTCTGTTAGACCTGTGTTGTCTTATGTTGGAGTACATGAATGGAAATGTTCTGTGTGGTTTTTCCAATAAAAGACTGTTTTCTTCACATAAATTAGTTTGTTTCTCCAAGTTTTAGAAAATGACATTAAGGATATTTTTTTTTCGAAGCTTTCCTAGTGGATCTTTAGGCCTTCAACCAGCACGGGGGAGTCCTCAATTGCCCACGACTTAGTGAGGGCGCCATTTGCTGCTATTATGGATTTGCCAGATTGGTCACCCGACTGGGGGTAACATGGGGAAAAAGAACACTGAGGGCTAAAAGCAAGGATTTCCCTACACCCTTCTTTCCCCTCCCTTCTCAGCACTCTCTCCCTTCCCAAACCTCATCTTCAGGAAACTGGGACAGCTGGTTATCCATCTCATTTTCCTCACAGTTGCGTGCTGACTCTGTCACCAAGCTGTGCATTTGCTAGAACAGTTGATTTTCTTTATAAGACTGATGAGGAAGAGAAAGCAAAAGTCTTATGCATTGTTTCTCTTAAGGTTCATCATGGGGGTGTGTGTGTGTGTGTGTGTGTGTGTGTGTGTCCCTAAGTGAGGGGAAGCTATTAGGAGAGAGCCAGATCTCTTTAATGAGCCTAGAGGTAATGCAAAATTCATGTGTTTTCACCTGCAGCTGGGTAAAGCCTGGTGCACAAACAGAAAGGGGGAAGGCAGGAAGGGTTGGTTATTTATGATTTTGCTGAAGCAGGTACCCTGGCTGCTACTGGGCATCCTGACCCACTTGTTCATTTTTTAGGAAGAAGTGGATACTTTCAATGGGAGAAACTCAAGCATCAGATTTGCTCCTTGGAGCATTAATAAAAGGGCTCAGTTAGCTTCATCTCATTATTTTACTATGAGTATTGACTTTGGCCTAGAGTCATGTATAGATAAAATGGTGCAAGGGCTTGTCCTAAGTGATTACTCAGAATTACAAATCATTTCACGTGTAACTGAATACCGCAGTCTAGCTGGCTCCCTGCCCCTTGCTTCTCCCCCTCCCCTTTCTCTAATAGGAGAGCAAATCCAGCTTTGTCTGAAGAGGCAATTAATCTTATTCACTGAAAGCTGAATTTTAATTCACCAGCATGTGGAGGACATATCTGCCTATCACACAGAATTAGTTTAACAGAGAATTTAGAGGAAAAAAAAAATATTGGAGGTCTTGGCATTCTTGAGCAGGCAAAATATCTTGTAGGTACATTCCTTCATTAGCCATCTACATGCTATGGATAAGCTTTTTGTACTAATAACTCTATTAGGGTAAACTGGGTTTATTGTGTATTTGAAAATGGCCGATTACATTTTATTTTATGTAAAACAAAACCAGACCAAGAAACCCCGCAAGATAGGTGTGTTTGGGGAGGAAAATGAACCTAGGTGAGAAAGAGAAATTCTAGTTTTCTAGAGATTCTCAAAGGCTATTATTTTTAAGGGCACGGTTTAGAGATGATCAGAAAAATAAAGGGACACGTAAAAATCTGAGAAAGCCTACATTCATCCAAATCAAACCCTATGGGGGAGTAAATGGGAAGGTTCAAAGTGGCAGGATTGCCCATGCTACAAGGGAGATGCTCGTGCGAAATCTGTTTGGCAAATACTGGGTGTTTCTAGTGTGTCCGTGTTATATTTTAGCAATTTTTTTTTTCCCTGAGCAAGACCTCAGTGTTTGGTCTGAGGTTTGTTTCACATGTAGACAAAGTGTGCATGTGCGCACACGCGCGGGTGTGTACGTGTGTGTTTTAAACTTCCTGAAACGGTTTCTTAATTCAAGTTACTTAATTTGGACCAGAATAGGACTTAACACATGCCCACGCTTAGTTAGATATCAAATTGCCGTAAGGTCAGAAAACACATGGGCTCTGGCTTGTACTTCTATTTAACACAGCACTGTTCAGAGGCTACCTGGTGGTACAGGCAGATATCAAAACATGTGACTGTCTCCTCCCCAGTGGAAGAGGGGATGTAATAAAGTACAAATGCTCTTATATGACAAATAATAATTAGTATAGCATAAATCTTAAGGGTTTGCTCTAAGGGAATTAAAAAGATGCCATTGTGGGTTTTTTTTGGGGGGGGGTTGTTTTTTGTTTGTTCGTTTGTTTTTTGCTTTTTTGTATCTTTCTCTCCACTCATGATGGTCTCATGCCCCTGGAATTAACCTTCATGATTCCTTCCTTTGCTTCTTCCAGAAGTGCACGATTGAATACTTGCAAATGAGTTAAGGACTTAGGAAACAATGGAACTTTTTTTTTCAAAACTAGTCCTAGTGCTCCAGAAGGTTTTTTGTTTGTTTGTTTGTTCTACTGTCAGTGGGTCTGGAGTGGGAGTGGACCGAGGGCAAGGAATCTACCAGATTAAGTGTGCCTAATGGTCACCAACTGTCACAGTGTAACTGTTCAAGCACAGGGCTGGGAAGTCACAAAGCTTTATTGCCTTGTCAAACCATTCGCGGTGCTGAAATTGGCAATTACTTTTAAAGGAAACAATTTAAAAATTCAAGGTTTTTTACATTATTCCCAGAAAATACTGCTTTATGTAGTGTCAGTGCCGTAAAGATGGATTTTTGGAATCCCTTGTGTAAACTTTGCGTTATCTATATAATGTTTAGAATTTAAATTACACAGATTTGGAATTTGGATATGTGAACGCCCAGGAGCACATGTTTGAAAATAATCACTTGCAAATGTTCCAAGACTTAAATGATGCACTGAATGCACAGCGGTGTTAGGGTTCATCCATTATTTATTTACTTAATTTTTTGTAAGCTCTGCTGCTATATAAGGTGCTTAAGCTTATTTTGAGAGGAGAGGTGGTCTTTTGCCTTTCTTCTGATGCCTTTATGGTGAGATTTTCAGTGCTGTCAACTATTCGACCTGAAAAAAAAAGGGGGGGGGTGGAGATAAAATGAAGAGGCATCCCTTTCAATATTTCTTGTTGCTCCTCAAAGTGTACGAAAATGTTCTCTTTCCATTCCTTGCAGACATGACATTAAACCCACACACTTAAGGGAGTTTTTGGGTGATCTTCAACTTGCCCCCTCATTTCGGCTTGGTGGGGCTCATCAGTATTGTCCTTTCCAGCATGAAGGTGAAGAAGCCCTCCATCAGCAGCTCCTTTGGGACAGAGGGCTTATTTCTCCTGTCTTTTTCAAAAGATGGGAGTTCTGCTCAGAATTCTTAATGAGATCCCAAATAAGTAGTTACATTTCCATGCAGAATTCCTTCCAAGCCTCTAATTCTCTATCTGGGTTGTTCTGAACATTCCCAAAATCTGTCTATTGGTAGTCTGTTTGTTGAGGCAAAATTGGGGTTTTAATGAATATAAAATAAGTTAACAGCCTTCAGGACTAACAAAGTTCCATGTACAACCTTATGAAGCAGGTTCTATTATACCTATTTACAGATGGGAAACAGCTCTATTAGTTATGTGTCCTATATTTTGCTCAAAGTAGAGGGGATAAAATTTGAACAAAGACCTTTTGACTCTAGATCCCCTTCTTTAAACTATCTTGCCTTCTTATAAGCTGCAGAAAATAAATTTCAATGTTTTCATAAAGTGACCAAAATGGAAAGCAGGGAGAGAACTGAAGTCAATAGAGGAATTTCTTTCCATATCTTAAAACGGCTAGATCGCATCCCTGTTGTAGCCGTGAGTGGAGATTTTCAGATGATTCCCCGAGCCTCTTGACAAGAAACCCTAGGAGTGTAAGGGCCTCAGATAAGGATCAGCCTTCTCTAGTACATGGATTGCTGGGTTTATGGGTGCAGACTGGGAGTATTTGTTAAATTCATTTTGAAGACTGTTAGGGTGTTTTGGGTTGTTAATTCATCAGAAAACAAATATCCCAAACAGTATGGGGCTTTTAAAAATTGTCATGTATATGGTAAGGCTGAACGTGGGGGATCTCAGGGTTGGGTAATCCAGCAGGTCAACCACATCACAAGATCCAGATTCTATTCTTCCTCTGCCATCCTCAGCATGACAACTATTACTCCTCTGTGTCTCAAGATGGCTGCCCCTCTCCAAGCATCACACCTCTAAACACTAACACCAGGGGCAGAAAACGTAGCTGCCTATATCTTGTGTGTTTTTGTTAAAGAACTCTTTCCCGGAAGTGCCTCTACAATATTTCCCCTCCTTTACCATATATTGCCATTTACAATGCAGTTGCCTATCTACCCTAAGACCAATCACTGGTAAAGAGAATGGGATGCTTCCCTCTGATTAATGTAGGTACAGTTGTAACGATTTCCTAGAGTCTTCTCATCTGAGGGGCCCCAGAACAAATCCGATTTCTGCCATCAGAGTATCCATAGGGGAAATCAGCTCCACTGGGTGTCCCAGACACCCCCAGTGCTGCAAAGGGGGAAGAAATGAAGCACGCGGGAGTCAGGAGAAGCTCCTTCCTCTTCTAGTGTCCCTCCAGCACCCTCTACTAACAAAGATGAACCTCGAGCCAGCTGGCAAGGAGGGAATGTTCCAGTATCATAAGCAGGCAATGAAGGGTAGCTTCGGAGCTGAGAGGCAATAAATTGGTAACTGGCACAGTTGGTTTGGCTGTCAAATGCTAATTCTTTAATAAGGGCCTCTGAGATGCTGATAACATGAACACCCAAGGAGGCTTTATGAAAAAATTTAACACACAAAATATTTAGCTGGAGAACTTCTTTCAGAAGTTCTATTGCGGGTTCTGAGAGCGATAGCTCTTTTTTTTTTTTTTTTTTAACTCCTAGCAATAGATTAGACATCCCTATGTCTTTTATTTATATGTAAATATATATAATAGACGCATAAAATTTCCAGGTATATGTACATATAGATGTATTATGTCTGTAATCTTTTAAAAGAAGATGAGAAAAAGAACATGGAGGAATTATTTTCTGTAGGAAAGGGAGTAACTTTATATCGGAGTCCAAATAATAGTTCCCCAAATCTTCGTGGTTGAAAAACAGGTTGGAGAGAA